ATTTTTTTAAGTAATTAAGTTTATTTAAAAACAACATTGTTAACGTTAACTTGCCTTAACCTAACCCGCCCCCCCTTCCAATGCTAAAGTTGTATGAGTTTTAAAGGAGAGGCAAGATTTCGATCTGTTTTTTTTATCGCGGTTAAACGGGATGATTTTTATTTATATGAACAGCCCCTGAAGATCGATCAAGGCGTAACAACCTTAGGATTGATGGTATCCCTAAAAATGACAGCAAAAGCTGAAATGACTAAGTATGTTGTTTTAATTATTATATAATTTTTTGCAGTAATTTTAGAAACTCTATACCACCAAGTTTTAAAAAGAAGTCTTTCAAATAAAATATTCCCAATAATAAGCATGGCTAGAATTAGTGATACTGAATTGCTTAGCTTTAATCTTTTAGCAGATTGTTCCTATTATTTTTCTAATGAATTAGAAGATTTTCTTTTTAAATATTTTAATGACAGAAATGCACATAAAGTTAAAATTGTTCACATAAATATTATAAGCCTCAGTTGCAAATTTGAAAAATTACTCAATTTACTAAATGTAACAAAAAATATTTTTAATGAAATTTTTTTCAAGTAAAAAATATTTTTTAGAAAATTTTTTTAAAAAGTTTAAATTACAATAAAATAAAATATATAATATTATATTATAACACTAATATATAATACAAATCTTTGATTTTTAATTTTATGTTAATGGCTATGTTCTTTAAACAATAAAATATAAATCGTATAGCTATAAATCTATTTTAGTATGGCAATAATGTGCAGAAAATAAAGTGGTACGACGTAGGACGGTACAACGCTTCAATTTAGAATTGATATTATTTTAAAACCTTGCATTCGGATTTATTTTTTAAACATGTCGAATAAATTGATAGACGGAGTGCATGGTCAAAGGTATAAAATTTGCATGCACATTATAAGAAATTTCTATACCCTTATAACAAAAAAACTTATTTTTGATAAATTTTTTGCTACCATAAAAGCCACATCTATGTCCCCCATCCTGGGCTCCTCAGTGCCAGTCTTATGTAAACTCAGATCATATTGAAACAAAAAAGCTTTAATCCACATTTATTCAAGTTATAGATAAAATTAGCGTCAATGTAGTTAAATCAGTCTTTGATATTATTGAACCCTTATTGTTTCACATTTTTAATCTCTCATTAACGTCTGGTATTGTACCAGACAAACTTAAAATAGCCAAAATCACACCGATTTTTAAGTCAGGTGAAAAAACAAATGTTTCAAACTATAGACCTATTTCTGTATTACCTTGTTTCTCTAAATTGCTAGAACGCATTATGTACAATAGGCTTTATAATCATCTAGTATCAAATAATATTCTGTACAACAAACAATTTGGGTTTAAAAAAAATCATTCTACGGATCACGCGGTAATTGAGCTAGTAAACCATATATCGGATGCTTTTGATAAAGATTATTTTACCTTAGGAGTTTTCATTGATTTATCCAAAGCATTTGACACTGTCAATCATGAAATCCTTATAAAAAAATTAAAACTTTATGGAGTAAATAACTTAAACTTACTTTGGTTTAAAAACTACTTGACTAACAGAAAACAATGCATAACCTATGAAACAAATGAAACCAAAAAAAAGCTTATAAATTGCGGGGTTCCTCAAGGATCTATCTTAGGACCATTATTGTTTCTAGTATATATAAACGACTTATTTTTAGCATCTAAAAAATTATATCTTATATTGTTTGCTGACGATTCCAATCTGTTTTATTCACACAGAGATATAAAAATTCTCTTTAAAATTTTTAATGAAGAATTATCTAAAGTAAATGAATGGTTTATAAGTAACCGCCTTTCACTAAATGTAGATAAAACTAAATTCATCCTGTTCCACAAACCAAATAAAGTTGATAAAATTCCACTTATACTGCCAAATCTATTATTCGATAAAACAGATGTAAAAAGGGAATCTACTGTTAATTTTTTTAGGCGTAATTCTTGATGAAAATTTGTCATGGAAGTTTCACATCCAATCTATTGAAAGTAAAATCTCTTATAATATTTCCGTACTTTATAAAACAAAACCATTTTTAAACGCAAAAGCTCTAATGAAAATTTATTTTTCATTTATTCACAGCTATCTTTCTTACTGCAACATTGCATGGGGAAGTACGAATTAAGGAAAACTCTAAAAACTTTATAGCAAACAAAAGCATGCTTGTAGGATTGTATTTGGGGCAAACAGAACTGTTTATTGCGAACCACAATGAAATCGTCTCAAGGCCTTAAACATTTATAAACTAAACATTTACCAAACATTACTTTTCATGTTTAAAATGAAACATGGAATATCTCCACTTATATTTCAACCTTATTTTAGCGAAATATCTCATAAGTATACAACAAAGTTTTCAGAGGATAACTTTATTGTTCCGAGAATAAATTTAAAAATAAGTTCTTATCAAATTAAATATCGAGGACCTTTTTTATGGAAAAATTTTATTTAAAACTTTAATAAAGAACACTACTCTTTAGAAAAATTTAAAGCAGTTTCTAAAAGAATCTTACTTCAATTAGATTTTAATTCAATAGACTTTAAGTATTTTTTTTAATAGGAAATTTTAAAATAGAAACAAACGCTCCCATTATCATTAAATATATTTTGTTACATGTATCAAATATATTTGTATTAGTATACAAAACTTTCTTTACTTTTAAATTTTAATATAAATGTCATTTTATTATTTGACAAAAGTTATGTACTCTTTAACGTTTTTTAGTATATTTTATTTATATTTGTTTATAAACACGGGCAATTTGTAAACGGGGCTCGGCGATAAGACAGTCATTGTCTTCTTCTTGCTCCGGCCAATTTTTATAAATGTAATATGTCTATATTGTAAATATATGAAACGGCAAAAAAAAAAAAAAAAAAAAAAGTTATGTAACTATAGATTGAAAAAACGTTACAGTGCCTTTAAAGGCTTTTTTTATACACAATATCCAAAACTGGAAAAGTTGTATGTGGTGTACCTCAAGAATCAATATTTTTTACTTTTTGTTATTTCCTTTAATAACCTTGTATCTCGTTTGAAGCATTAAAAATCTATTTATGCTGATGACACAGCCGAATACGCTCATTGAAAATATATGTTTATTATAGAATCGCGTCTTTCATCCGATATAGAAGAAATCTCAAATCGGTTTATAAAAAACGAGCTGATACTCAACCTTGGAGTCGGTAAAAATAGTCCATACTGCTTGGTATAGGAAAATCTCTCTTAAGACAACAAAACACAATGAACGTTTCTTATAACTTCAACTTAATATATTTCACCTTGAGCTATTAATACCTTGGTATTGACCTAGAGCCAAGACTAAAAAAAAATTAGATATTTGTTAAAACCTCTTGCTACAGAACGCATTTACAAGTTGACTATTACACCTGTTTTAACCTCCTGTGAAAATCTTTACTTCAATCTACAAAAATAAAAAACAGATAAGCTAGACTCTTTGCATACACGTGCATCTTGTATAATAAATGCAAACAGCAAGCACGAAGTGTACACAGAATCACCGTTCTCGCAAATTCTTATTGCATCTTGTCTACTAACGAAGCAATGCATTCTTGGTTTATCATGCTCAAACTTTACAAACTACTTTTAAGTTATCAACCATTCAAAAGCAACAAGAAATAACAGCAACCTAATTAAAATTCCAAAAATCTTGAATTTGCTAAAAGGTCTTTCTATTACTCTGGTGCAAGAGTTTGTAATGATCTACCACTAGAACTTAGAAAAATCAACTCGTTAAATTTAAAAATAAGTTAAAAATTTATTTTAAATAATGATTTTTACAATTATAAAAAAATAATGATTTTTATAATTAAAAAAAAAAAAAATAAATAATAATATTCGTAATAGTTACTTCAATTTTTATTGGGGAAAATAAATTTTATTTTATCTATTGATGATATATTTAAATAAATTTGTCTCACAGAGTCAATATTTGAAGTTTTTTTTAGGCACAAAGTCATTATTAAATCTTATTTATCGCTTTCAAAAAATCCTAAAGGTAAAAAACTGGTGAATATTTCACCTAATATTCTTAACGATCTTTTTCTTTTATAAAATTGTCAATCGAAATTTTTCAATAAACGTTGTAACTGTTTTTTTGTTCATGTTCGTTCAAAAACTCTAAGAATTGTAAAGATTCCATAACTTAAATTCTCATTATTACTGAATTTTTAAATTTTTTTTTTTCGACGCAAATTATTAAATTAACTCGTTTTTTACGGACTTACTAAAGAGTGATGCCTGAAAAAAACGTCCGCCCTTAGTAAAGTTTATTTTTATTTGATTCGTCACTAAAACAAATTTTCGAGAATTAAAAGTAAATTATGTCTTGTCACAGATTCGATCTCCGGTCTCCAACATGGAATCGCATTAACCTCTCAGCCACACACATATACAACTCTGCGAGTAAATTAATTTTATTAAAATAAGTATTTTTCACGTGTCATTTAAGTTGTGATCTGATGCCGAAACCCAGGGATTTGGGGTCATATAAAGTATCTTAGGGAGATTAGGGGGAGGTGAGATTAGCAAAAAGCATTCAATAAAGTAATAGAGGGGGGGGGGGGGGGGATATGATCAACATTAAAAAATGCACGCTTTAATTTTAAAAAAATTTCTTAATTTACACAACTTTTTCTAAATTAAAACTTTTTTAATTATCAAAAAAAAAAAAAAAAAAAAAAGGTGAGGGGTATTTCAAAAGCAAATGTACTTTTTAGGGGCGAGAAGGTCGGGTAGAATACGCGTCGAAACAGGTCGCGTCGAAAAGAGTCAAATTTCTAAATATTTGGAGTACGTATTTTATGGACTATTCATCATTAGTTTCCGCGTTCTTTATTTATTTAAAAAAAAAAGAACGTAAGAAACTTTCTTTGAGATGCATTGCATCAACAAGAAAATAACTTATGAAAAAAAAAATAACTTCGGTTATTTCGGTTATTTCTCTCCGCATAACAAAAGGTTTAAAAGTAACATACAAAATTCTTTGAAAAAATTACTTTACGATTGGTTTCTTCAAAAGCAAAACTCTATGTCAACTTTTTACAAACGTCGTTTTTTAAAACCCAATAGAATTTTGAAATACTTATCGAACTTCGGATCGAATATCGAATTTCAGAATATCTGATCGAATATCAAATTTCAGAACAGCGTGCAAAACGAACTTTTTACTTTTTTTGGAATTGCTTTTACATCTTCAGACTTCAAAGATTTATTTACTTTTAACCTCCAAGCAAACGCCACAGCTTCGTCAACAGCTTCTGCAGCAGCTACAACAGCTTTTGCAGCTTTTTCCGAATCTCCGTTCGCAACTGCATCAGCAACAGCAGCCGCCATAGCTGCTGCTTTAGCACCCATTGTCGGACAAGATTGTTTTGCAATATGTTCTGCTGTAGCTAGCGCAACTGCAGAAGCAACAGCAGTAGACGCAACTTTTCGCATTTCAACGTCAGCCGTAAGCGTCGAACACTTTCTTATAATTTCAGAAATATGGTTGGCTGGTTTACGAAATGATGAATCCAATGTTGTGTCTGGCGGTTTTAAAACGGAACCTGAAATAAAACTAAGTTTTAAAGAATAAAAAGTTTCAAAAAAATAGAAATGAAAATTAATAATAAAAATTTATAATAATAAAAAAAGCTTTGAAAGTTTTGTAATACTTTTCCTTAATAAAATTTAAAACATAAAAATTATAATAAAGATTTTTTTGAAACAAACAACTTATAACGTAGTTGATCACCAAAAGATTTTTTTTTTGTAATTAGGCGGGTAAAAAAAAAAAAGAAAAGAAAAAAAAAGTTTCTCCGATTTTTCTTATTAAAAAAAAAAAAAAAAAAAAAAAAGAAGGAAAAAAAAAAATACGCATTAATTTTAGAGATTAAAGAGCGGTTTAAACCGCTCATTTAATACATTCGCAACTAAGCAAAAGCTTTTCTTTGATCAATAAAGTTATTTAAAAATTGAAATATCACCTCGTTTGTTTTCTTCACCTAAAGTACCGTGGCCGAACATTGTAATGTTGCACATTTCAATTAAACTTCGGAACTGAGTGTAATCAGGAACATAAGAAATTCCATTTCCAACACCACCACTTATGTCAACAAACGGTCGGTCACAAAGTAGTTCATCACTACTTGAAATAACAAAATCTTCTTCAAATATAGCCAAAACAATTCGCTTACCGTTTGCGTTGTTCTTAACAAAGGAAAGGCAGTCCCCTTCAAAATATCTACAAAAAAAAAACCGTTAAATGATTTTATCGTCCTAGCGGTATACAAAGAAAGCATTCAATAGTATTTCATTATTATTAAAAGAAATCCGTATTATTAAAATTTTAAGATTTATAAGATTGTTGTAATAAACTTATAAAAATTTAATTAGACATCTTTTTATATATATCTACTTTTTTAATATATCTCTTTACTTAATTAGCATCATATAGTCTTTAAATTAAATACAACACACGGTCTTTCATTTATTTTCATTGTATGGTCATTACACACATAAGCATCGTATGGTCTTTAAATTAATTAGCATCGTGTAGTTTTTAAATTAATTAGATCGTATAGTCTTGAAATTAATTAACACCGCCACGGTCTTTAAATTAACTAGCATTGTGTGGTCTTTAAATTAATAAACATCGGTCTTAAAGAAAAATAAGTCTACTTTCAGGCTGATTTCTTTTTTAATTCAAATTATAAGATCATGATTTAATAATCATCACAATAACTTAAGTTCAAGTTTTAATAATCATTACAATAACTATTAAAATAATTTATGTTATATAATTTAATTTATATTAATTTAATTTATATAATTTATAATAAATTATACCGTATATTGTGAATCGATAATAATATTATTAATAGCAATTAAAGGGTTATGTAGACAAAGTCGTTAACTAGCAAATTGTTCTTAACAAAGAATGAGCGTTTAAAAATAATAATCAAATAAATTTAGCAATTAAAACATATTTTTCAAATACAATGTTATATTTTAAAAAAAGGTTATTAGTTTAAACTTATGTACACGCGAAAAAGTCGGAATTTTATCTTCGTCAGATAACACCTTAAATTAGCTTAAATATGACAACATTCCATAAAAGAACAAATAAAAGATTTATAGGGGGAATGGAATCAGAAGTAAGAAAATGGCAAGCATGATAAGGAGCGACGACCTTAATAGATGCTAACTTCGTAAATAATTGCATATATGGTTTCTATGAGAGTACTAAAAGGACTAAAATATAATCAGAGAAAATGTAAAATAGAAGAATCAGTAATTTATTTAGTGCTGCAATTTATCATTATTACTATCAAAATTATTATTTTCATTTTTATTAGTTTATTATCTTATTATTATTAATACAATTAATATTAATATTTTATACTTAATATTAAAATTATTAATAATAAGTAACAATAAAGTAATATTAAATAACAATAAATTGTACTTATTAATCAAATAAAGCATATATTATTTATATATTAATTGTAACAATACTAATGAATTAAATTAGTAAAAATAACAAAAATAACAAAATAATATAAATAATTATATAAATAAATGAATAATGACTAAAATAATTAAAAGTATAACAATAATTATAACAAACATTAAATAAAAAGTAATAACTTTAAAAGAGTATAACTAAATAGTAAAATAAATATTAATTTTATTATAGAAAGCCAAGGATTGATGGTGTAACGGATAAAGAAGTCTGATTAAAGAAGTGGCAACCTATAATTAAATATATGACTTATAATGAACATAGAAACATATAAAAAAGTAATCATTAAAAATCATATATTAATAAAATAATAATAATAATAACAATAATAATAATAATAATAATAATAATAATAACAACAAGAATAGGAGTATACTATTAGAGAAATAAATTTTTTGAAACCATTTTTTAAAATCAATTTTGTTTTAAATAAAAAAAAAGAATATAAAGGTGTTTGAAATTATTATATTTTGAACACTTTTACATGCGCACAAGACTCTTGTTTCATTCACAGACGCACAAATGAACAATAAAATGCTTACCATACACCTGAGTTTTATAAGATGGTAATGTTACGAAACTAATATTTCTATTAACTATATTTCTCATGAAATATAAAAAAATTGGCAACTTTCTGTGATAAAGTTTGTAATGGAAAAAATAAAACTTTTATTTCGAGAGCCAAAAACAAAGACTTATATCATGAATAATATTTTAACTTAGAAATATCAAAAGATCAACAGTATCAAGCGTTTTTTGTAAATTGATAAAGATGCCACAATAAATCTGACCAGTATGAGTTTTTTTGATTTACATATACCATTAAGTTGCATAAGTTTGGTCACTTAAGCTTTGAACATTCTTATCTCAGGCATAAATAAATGTTTTTTCAATTTTTTTTTTCTGAGTTATACAGACAACATATATTGTTAATTTATATTTTAAAAATAAAAAATAGTATTCGAAATTTTATTTTAAATGAGAACAGCAAGTTTGACTGAACTTTCAATACCATCTCATAAGTTCAGTCAGTGTATGCAATGTGTTGATTATAATATTGTGATACGTTGATTAGACAATCAACACATTACAATATTAAAAGTTTAACATCCCAACACAGTGGACACCAGACCTAAAAAAGACTTTTGGACGTCTTTTGAACGTTCAAAAGACGTCCAAAACGTTCAAAAGGCGTTCAAAAGACGTCTAAAACGTGTATAAGACGTTTAAAAGACGTCTTTTTTACGACCGTGCCCACTGGGAATACACATCGCAATATCACAAATACAACATCCAAATAACACATCGTAATAACATCACAAAATCACAAATTTAACACCAAAAATTATGAAAACTAGTTTTCTAATGTTACCTTATAATAAAAATATGTAAGAAAATCATTTAATTTAATTTAAAAAAAAACTCTTGTCTTTATTTAGCAACTTTGATAAATTTATTAAAAAAAAAATATAAAAAATTATTTTTAGTAAACAAATTTACTCAGATGACACTTAAATATTTATTGATAAATTAATATTAAAATATTAAATATTAATTGATAACTAATATTAAATATTAATTGCTAAATTTTATCATTAATTTCACAGTTCGCTTATTGGAAGTTTTAATATGCACAATTTTGAAATTTTTATATTCAAACAAATTACTTCAGCATGGTGCAATTAAATTTTTTTTGTAATTGAAATTTGTTACATACATTTTTAACAATCAACGTTTCACCACATTCCTGCTAATTGTTGTTGGCGCATCACACATTTTTTTTTTAATTTTAGAGAATATATAAATAACGGGTGATTACTAAAAATCTGGACAAAATTGCTTACATCATATTTCTATATGCAACTAATACTTATTTTTTCAAACAATTTGCAAATTTATTCTTCTTTTGAAATATATATTAACTTTTATATAAGTATTTTAAATTTAGTATTAAAAACGACGTCAAACGAAGAGCTCCAGAGAAAACGTGTTACCAGTTTTATCAAGAAAATTCAGATAAACCTAAACCATTCACTGTTTCTCATTTTGAAGCAGAAAACTTATCAAGATCGATTATATATGGAATTATTTAACGTGTAGAAGAAGATAAACCATTCGAAAGGCAAACTGGTAGTGGTAGAAAGCCGAAAAAAATGACTAAGCGTGCCATCAGTCAACTTACCAAGCTTTTTGACCATAAATGTGGCATTTCTCAGCATATAGCTTCAAATTAGTTCAAATTTTCTCAGTCACTTATTTCTAAGACACTGAAAACCAAAACAGAGAGCAAAAAACCAACGTTTGTGCGAGAGCCAGAGAGCAAAAAACCAACGTTTGTGTGGTCAACTTTATAAAAATTATAAAGATTTTATTTGGGTTCTTGATGACGAGTCTTATTTTATTCTCTCTAACAGCCAAATTAATGTTAATGATAATTTCTATTCAAGTTAATGTTAATGATTATTCTATTCGAATTAACACCAAACAATGTTAAATTCAAAGAAAAAAAGAAATTTGAAGAAAAATTATTGGTTTACGTGGTCATTTCGCCTTTTGGCCTATCAACTCCATACATTGTACAATCTGGAACTGTTATTAACCAGCATATTTATGTTGATGAATGTTTGACTAAAAAACTATCACCACACATCAAACAGCTTCCAAAAAATACCAAATACATATTCTGGCCTGATCTAGCAAGTGCCTATTACTCAAACAAAGCTGTTAAGTTTTTTAATGAAAATGGTATAAAGTTTGTAACAAAAAGTGAAAACCCTCCAAATATGCCTGAATGTTGTTGTATTGAGGATTTTTGGTCTTGTATCAAAGGAGATGTTTAAAAAATGGTTGGCAGGCAGAGAATTTGGATCAATTACGCTCTAGAATAATTTACTGTTTTAAGAAATTCGACAAAGAGCTGGTACAACACTTGGCAGAGTCTACTAGCAGAAGACTCGACACAATAAGTAGACAAGATCTTGTTGAATTAAGATAATTGTTTTTATTAATATTAGAATAAATTTGCTATTTTATTCTTTTTAAAGAAATAAAATAGGTCTTCTAGATTAAAAGTTATTTAATTTTTAGTATTGTGCAGATTTTTAGTAATCACCTGTTATATAAAAATCAAATAATTTTTTTTTTATGTTTTTTATGAAAATTTATTTGATTAAAAATTTTTTATTTCATTCTACATTGACATTTGGGGAGAATGAAATATGCAAATATAAGTGTAGTTAAAACAACACTTTAAAAAAACAAAAAGCAATCAATAAAAACAATTAAAAAATCAATTAAATAAAATAAACTTTTTTATTCTTGTGATGATGTTGAGTCGTTTAGAGGTACTAGAGGTTGAGTTGAGTTTTCAGTTCAGTGCGGCACTTTTTGGTGCAATAAAACTCAGCGCTTTTTCATATCGCTTTGGTATGTATGTTTGACATGCAAACCAAACCTTGCAATTTGAATTTTTTACTGGTACCATTATATATTTTGACTTGCTAAAGTTTCGCCTAAAACTTTTTGACACTTTTTACACTTAAATTGGTTTGCAGCTAATATTTTTGTTGGACTTGTTGCTTAGTTTATTTGCTGTTTGCCATTAAAGCAAAGATTACATTGTTTTTTAGCTTGCTTTGCTGCTTTTTTGCTCTCAGTATCTTTCAACCTTTCAAGTATTTCAGGTTTATTGAGACACTCCCCTTCGAATCTTGGCACATCTACATTTTTTCTTTTTTTTTGTGTCAAGGTGTTGGATACAAAACATTTGTTGCAAAGCAGCTGCAAATGATTGGACTGATTGCAGTTTCAAATGTATTAGCAATTTTGAACTTTGACTGATCGATTTTATTGATGTTGAGCGGAAACAAGCCAGTATTCTGAAACCATTTGGGTATGTATAAAAACTTCACCAGAGCTGAAAAGTTTTTTTTTGCAGGTAACTAAAATATTCTTTTGATAAGTTGCTGAACTTTTTCTCTGCATAATACTGTTGAAGTAGTTTGCGCCAAACTCTTTTGACATGGCAGTCATCTAGTGGCTGCAGAATGTGACGAGTGAGCTAGTAAGCAAATTAACAAGATATTGTTTTCAATACAAATAAGTACGACCCAATAAGTGACATGTGTCAAATGTCTACCTATAGTTAAAATATGAATACCTAAAATTAGATAACTATAATTAGATTGATGTATGTAAAATTGTAATCTTTTGTATGTAAATATGTAATCTTTTGTGAATGTAAAATTAGATAAATATAATTAAATAACTTAAATTAGATTGAACTAATTATCTGGAATTTTCTTAATCGCAGGAACATACACATTAGTGAGCCACTGCACAAATTGCTTATTTTCCATCCATCTGGATGGAGATATAGCGTATATGACACCATCTGGACCACTTAAACATCTATCTCAGTACAGACATTTTTTTGATTTAAAAATAATGTATGGAGCAAGACGATTACCAGCAGCATTAATGAAATTTCCAACTGTACAATGGATTTTTTAAATGTTACCAACCAATTTCAATGGTCATTTTGTACCACGCCGGCAAACTATATTTTGCTTACCTTGATCACCAGAGAAGCCAATTCCATAAAAATTCCACAAATGACATGGAGTGTTTTCGTTGATACCTGCTACATTGAATTCTCTTTGCAGTGTATTGAAATACTTTGCTACTATTTCTTGCGTGCAAGAAGTGGCTCTAAGTTATGAAATATTGCCTATGGCTCTGATGCTCAACCTATGACTCATCTTTTTATGAAAAGGTTATACCAATCTCTTCCTGATGTACCATTAGGAAATAAATAAGATCGACTTTGCAAATAGTCTGTAACTAGTGTGATGAAATTATTGTAAGTTCTACCATAGCTCCAATGGGATAATTTGATGAGCTTATCTACCAAAACTGAATTGTTTTGACAACCTCGTGCTTAAACCACTGCTAATTGTTTCACCTATGCTGTGGACACGCCTGTGAAGAGTTGCTACTGTATGCTGAATGATTTAGCAAATTTGTTAAATGAAAATTCACTGCTTTGTACTTTAACCACTGCAAGCGCAAATTGCTCTTTGGTGTATAGTTTTTCTTTTTTCTTTGCATGCAAGTTGTTTCGAGGCATATTTTATAATAAAATAGATTTAACAATAATCCATTTGAAAATAATGGACAAAATTTATAGAGATAGCTCGGTCACTTGAGACTTAATTAATTAATGAAAAACCCATTTAACAAAAGAGTAACTGGCGTATTTTATTCATTCATTAGAATCATTTAATAAAAGCAGTCAGTAAAAGTCATTCATTTAAATTCAAAAAAATTTCATTAAAAAAATTTTTTCAATACAAAAAAATTATAGTTGGAGTTTATTTGGTCACTTAAGATTTAATTTAAAAAAAGCCACATTTAAAAAAGTGAGCTATTGCTTCACTTATTATTAGCGTATTTCATTCAAACCCACAATTCTCTTTTTCTGTTTTTTACTCAAATAGCAAATTTAATTTTCATAAAAGATTCTTGACCAGTGTAAAACTTTTTAAGTTCAATGATATCAAATTTAACTTCCGAAACTTTCAAATTCATTTTTCAAAATAATAATAAAAAAATGTATTACGCATACGAAAACTTAAAAATTTATAACAAATTTTTTTTCATCAAAAATAAAATTTGATATCATCTTACTCAGAAAAGTATTCTCTACAACATGATTTAAAAAAATTTTAAAAAGATTATCCAATAATTAATTAAGAGCAAAAGAATAAATATTGTCATAACTATATCACTCTACCCGCTGTTTGATTTTACCTTGTTTTACTCGACTTTACATTTTAAAATCAAAATTTTGTTTTTCAAATTTAGTTAACAATACTCTTAATACTAGTGTTAAATTTGATCATTTTATTCAATGCTTAATTTGTAAATTCAATGCTTTGCTTATTTTAAACTTCAATAGTATGTATCATTTTAAAACTTTTGTTTTGAAAAAAAATTTCAGCAGTTTCAAATAAACAATATCATTATTTTACAATGCTTAAGCACAAAGTGACAAAAAATATCATAAAAGAAAAAAAGTTTGTAAAAATTAAAACACGCATTTATTTTTGTTACTTATTCTAAATAACCAATAGCTACATGGCAACCAAACTTAGCTGATTTTACAGTATAATTAGTTGTTTTTTTTCCACACACACACTCACAGACATATATTGAGTTAGGAATATATATATATATATAAATATATATATATATATATATATATATATATATATATATATATATATATATATATATATATATATATATATATATATATATTCTGTAGTACCAATTGAAGTGCGAAGTTTGTTTAAACTTGTCATGTTAACAGGCATGTGCTTTTTATATAGTTCCCGCATTTATTTGTATTGTTTGAATAGATTCCTGGAATTTATTAATTTATTTGTGTGTTTATTTGTAGATTTTTTCATAATGAATAGTATGGAAGGAAAGGGGTGTGCAGTTATAGCATTATTAGACTGGAAGAGAAAACCATATCAGATTTTCAAAATGCTGCAGCATAAAGGAATATCAAAGGATATTGTCTATCGTACTATTAAGCGATATAATGATCACTTCTCAGAGAATGGGATGCTTTATCCATGGAAACCCTTCGTAAATCAATCGAGGAATGGCGTCCAAGACTGGAGGTGTGCATACGAGCAAAAGGGGGTTATTTCGAGGACTCTATTAATGTGTACTTTAGCATTTTAACTAAAACATAACATGCATATAATATGTATATATTACATTTGTTCTTGCATTAAAAACATGTTCTCTTAAATTTTTTTACTGAATTAAAATTTTGCATTTCAATTGGTACCACTAGGTATATATATATATATATATATATATATATATATATATATATATATATATATATATATATATATATATATATATATATATATAATATATATATATATATATATATATATATATATATATATATATATATATATATATATATATATATATATATATATATATATATATATGTATATATATATATATATATATATATATATATATATATATATATATGTATGTATGTATGTATTTTTTTTTCCTAACTCAATATATGTCTGTGTCAAAGTAGATATACACACATTATATATTACCTTGAAGTAACTATAATAATAACCAAATCTGATGCAAAGATTGCTTGTTTATTATTGGAAACTTCAAAGCAAGCATCCTGCAAGGCTTGCATAACAACTTTGACTTCTTCAGAAAGATCTAAAGAATGACTCACGTATACCATATACTGGGCTAAAAAAAACAAATTAAACTTATACATTAAATTTTTTTTTCACCAGGCGCAATGACCAGCAATAATATTTAGCACCTTAAATATAAATTCTACATTATAAGTCTTAGAAAGAAAAAAGTGTAAATAATTTAAATTGCATTTCATAAATAAAAATTTATTTTAAGTATAACTCAATAACATAATTAAAATGTGGTAACACTAATCATCAACAAGGATAAAATTTTATTTAGTAATTCCCTAATGTAATTGTTATTTCCTAATGTAGTTTATCTGTAAGTAAAATCTAACTCCCTAATGTAATTTCCCTCAAAGTCAACATTTTTTTAAATTTCATGGTAATTTGTAATTTTCTTTAACTCACAGGTTTTTTTTTGTAATTTCCATAGTAATTTGAAATTTTCCTATAATTCACAGGGCTTATTTGTAATTCCCATGGTAATTTGTAATTTTCCTGTAAGTTTTTTTTACGAAACACTATAATGTTTATTTGTGTGTAAATAAAAAATTACATTTTTTCTGGAAAGTTTTTTTCTTGTATATTTTCATTTCAAACTTCATTTTAGTATAGCTAATTTATTATTTTTTTTATTATTGTTATTTATATTTTTCTATTATTATTTGTTATCTATATTATTCTGTTATTATTTGTTATTTATATTATTCTGTTATTATTTGTTATTTATATTATTCTGTTATTATTTGTTATTTATATTATATGTTATTAAGATTGTTATTAACATTTTTTATTAAGATCAGAAAAATTCAGTCACAAGATGTTATGAGTGTTAAGAATTTTTTATTAAAAGTAAATTTTTTTTTGAGTAATTGTTTATTTCTCTTGCTATAACTACTGGCTTTTCTATTCTGTTATTCTTATGTTATGTATTACTCTTACATTAGGTTTTTATCTACTATATTGTTTGTAATCTATTATATTGTTTATATCTACAATATTTTTTGTAATGTTATGAGATAACAATAAACTTTTGAAAAGTATATATATCAACAAAAAAATTACATAAAAACAAACAAAAAATCTCCTTTAGTGTACCTGCTATTGATTGAAGCCAGTTTAAACAACTTTGTGATGAAATTGGAGCAATGTGTGACAAATCATCTTTAAAAAAAATATGTTTTTAAATGAAATAAAATTTCAAAATATAATAGATATGGACAGATAAAGCATTTTATGATTTTATCTACATAGCGCGACGGTCGTAACACTTACTTTTTACCACTTCTGAACAAAACAACTTTGTCAGACTTAATGCAGCAAATGGATGGTTAAAAAAAACAACATTTGGTGTGTGTATTTAGCACATATTGATGTTATTATATGCTGAGTTTTATATTTTTACTTATAGTTTTACAAGCATTTTTATGTTTTTTTTTGTTGTTGTGATGGTCATAACTGTGACAACCATAACGAAAAATCCAATGCTTAAGAACAACAAATAAAACGACACAATCAATGATATATGAAAAAATATATATAAATCATTATTAACAACCATGTATATTATGTTAAAAAAATGCACCATAACATTATCAAAGTTTTCAATTATGGATATACGATACAATTTTTAACACTACACAACAGGACTGTAAACAACCCTCGGAATTAGGGTCGGCATTCAGCAATGCTGACCTAACTGCATATCCGAAAAGCAGTTTGAGGTGGGCAAAAATTGCCGACCTCGTTTTTATGTTTTATGGTCAGACCTTTGTATCAAATAATTTTAGCTGACCTGATGCTGACCTAAAAAAGATTGAGGTCGGCAAATTATTGCCGAGCTCATTTTTCCTAATTCCGAGGGTTGTGTAAATAAGCATCAAAAACATATTTATACAACCCTTACAACTTTAAAACCATGCTATGGTAGGATAAAATGATTTTTTTAAATAACTTTTTGCTTAAAAGTATTTTTAAGTTGTTAAAAAAAAGAGTTATAGAGTTTAGTATGTGTTTTCATAAGTTTTTTGCGTTCTTTTTTTTTCCCTCTTTCTTGTGGAATTGCCCACACACACACACACATACACACACACACACACACACACACACACACATATATATATAAACACAAGCCTTGGCAGGAGCAAATGAATGCAAGAGCGGAAAATTGCTCTCCTAAAACAAACATGGCAAGCAATGCGAGTTGCTCCTCTAAACAGCTTTCAGCTTAAACAGCTCTCAGTTTTTGTATGAGCTATTTGTATATTCATTAAAAAATTGCTTATTAAATACAAAACTTAATTTTATACTTGTTACAAGCTTTTCTTTGGGTTTTCACAGTAGCTATTCAATTATTTATTACCAACTTTACTTATTTGATAAAAAATATGACAAATAAAGAGCTATAAAAGTGTTTATTGCTTATAAAAAATGTTTTATATTTTCTTACTGTAATAGAATGCAAGTTTAAGAATTATTAAGATAATTAGAGACTCCACAATAAAAGTGTTTATATAATTACATTACAACAGCTTTAATAGGAAGATATAGCATTAACTAGAAAAAAGATTTATGACAAAATATTATTAATTTATTTTTTTATAATGGCATTTTCATAAAAAAATGATTTTAGATTTTAAAAAAACCAATCAGATCTAATTAAAAACATTTGCATTTAAATTATCGCTACTTTAATATTTTTTTTGCAATAACTGCATCTTTGCAGTTAATTACTTCATTGATTTATTTCGAAAATGACTTTTGCATTTTTAATTAAAACAATAATGGTTTTCTTTTATACTTTTACTATAACAATATAATGTTATAGTAAAAGCCAACTTGAAGAATAAATTAAAACACCTCATACTTAATACCAACTAAACACCTCATACTTAATACCAACTAAACACCTCATACTTAATACCAACTAAACACCTCATACTTAATACCAACTAAACACCTCATACTTAATACCAACTAAACACCTCATACTTAATACCAACTAAACACCTCATACTTAATACCAACTAAACACCTCATACTTAATACCAACTAAACACCTCATACTTAATACCAACTAAACACCTCATACTTAATACCAACTAAACACCTCATACTTAATACCAACTAAACACCTCATACTTAATACCAACTAAACACCTCATACTTAATACCAACTATATCGACAAGTATCAAACTTTACTTTTACTATAGATATAACAAGGTGTAACAGCCTGATTGAGTTGATGCCTAAGAGAATTGATAAAGTATTAATTAAAAAAATAACAAAAAATAATTTTTTGTCCAGATGTGGTAGTGGTGTAGTGGTAGAGCCCTCAATTTATAAGCAAGAGGTTCTGAGGTCAATCCCCACCACGCCCCTAGTAGTACTGAGCTTAATTTGTTTCATCACGCAGCAGCCTTGTTAGTCAAGGTTTGTGTTTTGGTGTTATAGAGTTGAGAGAGGGTTAAAACCACAATTAAGTAGCCTTTTTGTTTGTAGTGGCCTTCTTGCCGGGGAGAGGTGAATTACCAAAAAAAAAGAAATTTTTAGTTTTTCTTACCAAAAGAGAAATCTACCTAGTGTAGTAAATGTTTGATCATACACTTAGATAAAGCTTTTTGAGAGTTTACATAAGCTTTTAAGAGAGATATATAACAATTTGAGGTTTTGTTCATTTAATATAAAATTATATCCAAAAGTAGTTTGTCTTTGGAGAAAGACTAAAATTGTCAAGTAAATTTGGAGAAAGACAAAATTTGGTTTTTTGAATGAACAATAAAATTTAATTAATTTAATTATTTTAATGGTTTTTACAAGATGTACACTTAATTTAGAGTGTATACTTAATTTATAGAGTGGCAGTCATAACTTTTGACACTCTTAAAGCTATTAAAAATGACTGAAAATGGAAATGACATTAGAATTTCCAGATATGTGAATTTATTTTTTACCATGCCAATGATATTATTATATGCTAAATTATTGATATTTTTATATGCTAAATTTCATAGTTTTAGTTTGAAGTTTTATAAGCATTTTTTTGTTGCTACAGTCGTAAATATGACAGTCATAACAAAAAATCTAATATTAAAAAACAACAAATAAAACTACCCAATCAATGATGTAAGAAAAAAATATATAAACCATTATTTAAAAAAATATGATGTAAGAAAAAAATATAATATATTGAAAAATTTATGCATAAATTTAAATGATGTAAGAAAAAAATATATAAATGATTATATAAATTATGTTTAAAAAATGCTCTATAACATTTTAAAAGTTTTCATTTATGGTTTCATGATATAACTTTTAACACTACATAACAAGAAATAAACATAACAGGACTGTAAATAAACATCAAAACATATTTGTATAACCCTTACACCTTTAAAACCATGTTTGGTATAATTTTTTAAAATAAATTTTTTACTTAAAAGTGTATGAAAAAATGAATTTTTAAATAACTTTTTTGCTTAAATTGTTGAAAAAAAGAGTTATAGAGTTTAGTATGTGTTTTCATAACTTATTTGCTTTCTTTTTTTTCCTCCTCTTTCTTGCAGAATTCCCCATATATATCAGGGTGTAAACTAGCCCTGTGGGTATTCCCAAATGCTCATAAAATTCCCAAAGGTAAAAAAATTCCATTCTCCATTTAAAGTTTGCCATATAAAATTTAATAATAATACTATAAATTATTGAAAATTAATTATTATATTAAATACTAATAGAAAAATAGCATAAGAAAATCTAATTTATTGTGTGAAAAATAAAACCGCTGTTATTGGTATAACATGCAATTGCATGACTGTATAAATGCCTCTTGAAAAAAACTTCTTGAAAATTGGGATTTTCCCAGTGATTTTAGGATTTTTTTTGGCAACTTGCTTGTAAAATTCACTTCTCAATGTTTGCAAAAAATTCTTTGCAATGCCTTCCGACATCAGCAAATATTATATAAAAAAGTTAGCAAGTAATAACGTACAATCTAAAAAATTAATTTTTTTGATTTAACACCTACAAATACTATTTCTTTAAAAGCTTTGCCTATTTTGGATGAAAATTCAAATAGCTTATTAGACTACTAACTCTACTTCAAGTAGTAAACAAAGTTTATTGAAAATATCAAGAAAATAATTATATAATGGTATATTATGGTAAGTTCTTAGTTATTGTTTTTTCTTTTTTTTGTTTGGTATTTTATATCAATTGAATTAGGTGATCGCATCGACTATAATCTATTTTTACTTATCTACTATCATTTCTTGACTAATATTTTTAAAAGCCACCTCTGGAATATATGTTAAATACAAAAAAAGTTTAATGATTATAAAAACTGGTACTAAAAACTTATTTAACGACTTAGTGTAGTAAAGATGATTTATAAATTAAAAATTCTTTTATTTGGAATTAGCATGATTTTGTCAACGTATTATGTCCAAACAAGTTTAAAAATGTTTAAAGAAACTTTTCTCTCTTTTACATAATTTTCAAAACTTATTTTTTACTCCTTTTGTGAACCTAAAGAACACCACTTTTGAGTCTTTAGATCAATTCTTCTCAACAGCATTAACGTTTGAAAAAGTTTTGAAAAAGTGCCTTAATCTACTATAAAGGGAATGGGAAAAGAAAGGAAAGAATAATCATGTGAGCATGCGTAATATAAGTTTCAATTTTTCCTGAGTAAAACTGCGCATACTCACGCAATTCTTTTTTCGTTCCCTTTCCCGTTCCCGTAGAAAAATGGATGAGTGGGAAACTCACCTTAATACTTTAAAATCACCTCAACTACACCGAGGAAAATAGATTTCTTTACTTTGCTGCTTGCTTGTATTTAAAACGTAAATTAAATACATATATTAAAACGTTAATTAAATTCGTTTAATTATTAAACTTTAATAACAAGAATGTTTTTGTTATTACAACAATCTATTAGTAGAAATTCATTGCAATAGATTCACTGCTTTCTTGAGTTTAAAACGTAAAAGCAAATTTAAATATTTGAATGCACCGTAGTCATAATAACATTTTATGACTATGAATGAAAAAATTATTATTGGTATTCCTCATTGCAAAGATTACATGCAATCGCTTGCGATCAATATTCTTTTATAATTATAAACAACATTTATTACTATTTTTGCTGAGATTTTGTAATTGTAACTTTACTTTGTTATGCAATTTTTTAAAAAGATAATTAATATTAACATTTTAATGCCTATCAATGAAGCTCATTGCGCACCTAACCACTGGTCACATAATATAGATTTCAGCAAATCAGAAGCCATAATTTGAAAAGTAGTGACAGCACACAAATCAGTTAGCCTCACAACACTCCACATTAGTTAGTTTTTTTCATCTCCTTTAAAGTTGGTAAAAATGACATATCCGGTGTTGTTAGCTAAGGGACGATATTCATCTTCAATAAATGTTGTAAACAGTATTTCATTTTGTTTTTGGTACCGCCCAATCAATGTATGCAGCGCTGAAATGGAATAGAAGTGGAAGAATATAAGAAAAGAACCATACGCATTCCCAGAACACATTTTAATCTCAGGGAGTGATTGGGAAATATTTTGACAAATTCCCAATATCATCAAAACGCTGTATCAAATTTGTTCCTGGTTAACACCCTGTATATATATATATATATATATATATATATATATATATATATATATATATATATATATATATATATATATATATATATATATATATATATACACACATATATATATATATATTTATATATACATTTATATATATATATATATATATATATATATATATATATATATATATATATATATATATATATATATATATATATATATATGTAAATATGTATGAGAGTATGTATGTATGTTTATGTGTATGTATAATTTCTTAAGCATGCCTAATCCTGTAAGTTACAAGTCACCTGAATTTTTAACAGGTATCCACCACAAAATCTCTGGAAACTTGAGGTAACCTGTTTCATATTTATCAATAACTTCGAGTAAAGGAACATACTTTGTTGAGTGCAATGAAAGAATCTAAATGAAAGATTTTAGAAAAGATTTACATATATATATATATATATATATATATATATATATATATATATATATATATATATAAATATATATATATATATATATATATATATATATATATATATATATTTATTTCATTTACATATTTATCTAAATGAAAGATTTTAGAAAAGATTTACATATATATATATACATATATATATATATATATTTTATATATATATGTATATATATATATATATATATATAATATATATATATATATATATATATATATATATATATATATATATATATATATATATATATATATATATATATATATATATATATATATATATATATGTATATATATATGTATATGTATGTATATACAAAAAAAAAAAATTTTTTCAACGCAAATACACAAAAGCCAAATTTGGGGCAAATATATATAAAAAAAAGATAACAAAAAAAAATCCCAAAAATATTGACATTTACCTAGTGCTCAATCGGCAAAATATGCCCCAAATTGTTCCAAAATTATTTGGCTTTGAGTGCAAGGTAAATCTCAATATTTTGTAAAACGTTTTTTTTCTAATGTGATCATAATGGTTTAAAGTTTTTTTTTAGATAATTGTGTATCCTCATTTTTTCATAATTGTTGTTTATACTAAAAAATAATTTTGTGCAAATATGCAAAAAAAGAATTTTGTGCAAATATGGAAAAAAGTTGTTTTTTTGTTTTTTTGCACAAATTATGCGAAAACTTTTTTTATTATTTTAAACAACTATTTTTTTAAATCATCTTTACTTCCAACAAAGAACAAAGTGGCTGCAAGCAACCGCTATAAGAGTTAGAAGTTACTGGAAGAGAAAAGATGAAGTTTATAAAGCAAGATATCAGTTAACAGACAACTTATAAGATTGCAAATTATATAAATCAGTAAAACAAGATGAAGGGAGTGAATTAGAAAAAGCACAATAAAGAGATGCAACCATATCAGATGCTAATTTAATTTAAATAGATTATATATAGGGTTTCCAAGAAAGATTGGAAGTAAGAGTTGATCCTAGAAAACAAAGGGTAGATGACTCATCGAGTACGTTATCGTTCATAAATATATGAAGATCTAGATTGTTATGATAATGATTATCTAAAATAAATTGAGTTTTATCTGAGTTAAAGTTCACCAGCCATCGAGAGCCCCATGCTGTAGCAGAAGAGAGATCTTTTTTAAGCAAATAAAATTTTGTATCCCAAATATGATTTTATATTCCCAATAAAATGAAACTTTATTTTTCAAACAAATTAAAAGTTTAAATCCTAAACAAAATCACATTTTCAAATTTTAATTATGAAAAAACCAAGATACAGAACAATCTAAAAAAATAGTTTGGACCATTATGATCACATTAGAAAAAAATTTTTATATTGAGATTTAATTGATATTTTGTGATTTGAGCACAAGGTAAATGTCAATATTTTTGTAATTTTTTTTTTTTAATTGTATTTTTTTTATATTTGTCGCAAATTTGGCTTCTTTTGTATTCACGTTTTTTTTAAACAACCCTAATATATATATATATAAAATTTAAAATTATCCAAATATATATATATATAAAATTTACAATTATCCAAATAATTATTATTATGAATTAAAAGTTTAACATATTTATTTAACATATTTAACTTTATTAATATTATTGTTTAACATTTAATTATTTTTTAATATATACTTACTGTTTGTAATATAATTATTATTGATATCATTATATATAACAGCACAAAAAAAACATTTGAAATTAGCTGACTTTAAAGATGCCAGTTCTTAAAAAAAAATCACATGTTTTGGACTAATTTCTACATAGCAAAACAGAAGGTCATACAATATGTAAGATTTGTTCAGCAGTTATGAAACAATAAAGAAAAAAAAGTCTGATCTATCATCTTCAAGCAAGACATAAGATTTAAATTTTGTTGCAAGGAAGATTAGTCAAAAGAAAATCAATCAACATTAAAGATTTTTTGTACTGATGCTTCCTTTAAGAAAAGCTCATAACCTCTTGGTGAGTTGATAAGCAAATTGGTTGCAGTTAATAGCCTAAATTTCAACCAAATTGCAAAGAGTGTTTTCTGTTTTAGAAGTAATTCTGCTAGTAAAAAATTTATATCAGATGGTTACACTTTGTCAAAACGTCCACAAAGTGTTAAGGATCAATTTATGAATCAAATTATGGTAAAACTATTACAATTATTGGGTATAGAATATGAAAGATCGAAGAAGGTTGTTTTTTTATTATTTTTGACAAATCCACTTTGTCCAAAAATTGTAGTTACATAAATCTGAATATGCATGATTTGAATGGATTCAAGTAAAGTCATCATCTAACAATAACCATTGATGGTGTAAGTGTGATGATAAAATTTGAAAAAGAGACTAGTCCCATTCTCCTGTATATGTGATTCATCTTTGTGTTTGTGATATACTTAATAAACCTCATAAAATAAACAATGATGTAATTGATAATGTAAAGAAGAGGAAGATAATCATAATGAAACAGAGGGAAAATGTGATGAATTAAACAAAAAGTCTGATATTGGTAAGATTTGTAAAGTGTTAAAGTCTTGAAAGTGCCCCTAGCAAAGGGTGATGGCAATCTTTAACCAAAAAATAGTCCTTTAAGATAAAGAAAACGTTATATTTAAGTTGCAAAACACCATAGAAGATCCTTATTAAAATGCTTCAAAAATTTTAAAAAGTTTGCAAAAAAGTTTAAGTAGCAATCATTCACCCTGAGCAAGAGTTGGATGTTTCTGATCAAAATTAGAAAAGATTAAAGATTAAACTATGCAGTGTCCAGAAATTAAACTTTTCAAAAAAAAAATTAGGCTGAGAAACTAATCCCTTTCTGTAGAGTCTATGTTTGAAAATGATAAATTATAGGCTTCTGATATGATTAGAATAGATGTATATTTTGCATGTAATTTCCAACTCCTTTTCACACACACACCCCATCCTTTACTGTACTCCCTACCTTTTTAGTGTAAATGTAGCCAAAAGTAAAAAATAACCACATGTAGTAAAGCATTTGACATTAATAATACAATTTAACTGAACAAAAAAAAGGGAAATATTTATTTCTGATTATATAGTTCATTATTGAAAAAAGTAATAAATCTTGATAACTATGACAATATAATGTTACTAAATTTTTATTTTTATATGAAATTAAGCAGAGTTGATGTTAAATATAATAAATAAGTATTTTGTATATACTAAAAACAAAACTTCCCTTTAACTAGTTTTATCATTTGAATCAAATAATCTGAAATTTAAAAATTAAATATTTAATTTGTTAATAAAAAAAGCTGCTCAAATTTACTTACTTGTGTATAATAAAAATAAAAATAATAATAAAACAACAATTATTATTATTATGAGTTGATGGAACAATTTAATGTTATAATTTCTATAAATTTATTATCTAGAAATTATAACATTTAAAAAAGTTTTTAACTTGTTTCTGACAAATTTATATTAACTTGTTTCTGACAAATTTATATTAACTTGTTTCTGAAAAATATATATTAACTTGTTTCTGAAAACTGGGAATAACAAAGAAGATGGCAGCAATTAGTATGAAATAAAATCAAAAATTAAAAAAACAAACAGGCAGATTATTTCTTTTATCAAATAAAGTATCTGCTGAGAGAACTAAAAGACAACTTCCAACATATCCAACCGTACCTAACAGACAACTGATGATACAGTACAATCAGTTATAATTGGTAAAAAAACAAACAAATACAAAGTATCTGTGGATAACATAGGGTGTGAATTTAAATATAATAACAATGAACTAGCTTGGTCTGATGTACCTTCAAGTAAAGATTGTTCTTACCTTAATTTCGAACCTTGCTTTAAAAAGTTTAGGAAAAAGCACAATTTAAATAATTCAAAAGTTTGAGGTTGGTTTTACTCTTTATGATAAACCAACAATTGAATTGGTACATTTGTTATAATCACCTTTGAAATTTTTTTTTGACTTTGAGAAAATAATAAAATCGGACAGATCATTCCTAAAAAGCGCTACACAATTGAAACAAAATTTAGTATAAAAATAATAAATTTATCTAGGTGAATTCAACACCATACAAACCACCAACCAGACCATTAGATTTTAATGGGCTAAAAATATATTTTTGCCATTTGAATTTATTAATTGTGCTTTTATTTTGTATTGGAGAAATTGATGTTTAATACTCCTCTATTGCTATTCATTGTACCCATTTTCAATGTATATATCAGTTAAAAAAATAAATTTTTTTGTTTAACTGTTTTGCAAATAAGTTTTACTACAGATCAAGTAAGCACTGTGGAGAAACCCTTTATATATAGCAATTAAAATATTCTGATTGCGATTTAATTTGCAATTTAATCTGAATGTAAGAGATTGCTTCTTTTTGATATATTTTATTCTCATATTTTCCTGTTTTATTATTTATAATGGTTTATCGAGAAAGTGTTTTTGTCTTGTTTTCAACTTCAATTGCATATTGTAATTGTAAATGACTTGGTAGTGTTTTGCTCGTTTATTGTCAGGAAACCTAGCATTACTATCATCAACATATCCTAAAAATGATTTTAGGTTAAGTGCAGAATTTATTACCAATGCCATTTTAACAGCATTATTTCCATGAAATTGTAGAAAAGATTTTGCTAAAAACCACCATGAAAGAGAGTCTGACTAGGCCTGAGTTCTCTATTACCTGATTCTAATTGTTCCAATGAAAATAACATTGAAATAAGCAGAATAATTAATACTTTTAAAATAATTAAATAACAATTTAATCATATAAAAACTTAATCATAGCAAAACTAAGTATATACCTAAAACAAAACAACTCATAAAACTAATGTTTTATATAAAGTTGTAAACAATTTTAACATGGTAGAAACTTTTTATAAAATGTTCTTAGTATAAAATAACTATTTAATTAAAATATTGTCACATAAAATCTTACATAAAATTAAAAATGAAAAAAAAAAAAATTATCAAAAAATAACAATTTTGCAGTTAGCATTTTTGTTATATGAAATTTCCAGAACAACATAATTAAAAAAAAATAAAAACTTTTATTTTAAAAACCAACAAAATATTATTATAAAAAAATTATAGCAACTCTTGAGAAAAAAATGTATTAGCTGAAAACAGATCTTTTTATTTATTTGAAACAAATACTAATTTACTTAAAAGCTAAAAAAAACATTAATTGTGATAATATGCATAATGTGATAATTTACACAAGAATATTTACTTGCCTCATAATAAATTCCATTAAAAGATTGCAAATATTTTTCAATAGTATACAAATACTTAGCTAGGCAACTCCACCCACGATTGACTGCATGACGAGATCCATGTTGAAGTGGTACTCGAGCCAAAACTTGTAAAGAACTTTTTTCATTACATTGAGAAACATTGACAACAATGTCACAGACCTTTATGTACGAGCCAGTTTGCCAGTAGCCTAAAATTTGGGATTGCATTTTTAAAGGAATGCAAGCAGATATTAAACTTAAGAAAAGTTGAGGTGGTTTAACAGAAAGAAAACGGAATATCCATCCAACTTCAATATGGGAATTAGGGCATGTAGACAGCCAAGCATTTATCTATATAAAACAATTTTTTAAACCTTAAAATCATTAACAGGTTCTTTTTTAAATATAACTAAAAACAAATGTACTTGGGTAATATAGGGAAGCCTTCCTTGCATTGGTAAGTGATACAGTTTATAGATTGATAAATTCTTCATCTTTGGAACAACCAACTCCAAGTCATAGGCAGCATTTGTAACACTGGAGAACATTACATATGACAACTGAAGAGCTTCTATTACAAGTTCTATTTGTTCAACAGAAAGATTCCATTCCTAAACAATTCATACAACCATACACATATAAGTATATATATATATATATATATATATATATATATATATATATATATATATATATATATATATATATATATATATACATATAAGTACACACACATCCACACACACACACACACACACACACACACACACACACACACACACACACACACACACACACACACACACACACACACACACACACACAAATCAAATATATTTTATACATCTATATCTATACAAATATACAAATATATATATATATATATATATATATATATATATATATATATATATATATATATATATATATATATACAGCCTAGAAAATAACAGACGGTCAACAGTCAATGACGCTCGAAATGAAAAAAATTGTTATTTTGACCTTCCAAAATAAATTCTTGCCGGTCATGGTTGACCGGTTGAAAAAAAACTAGAGTTTTAAAAAACAAAGTTTGACTAATAATCAGGATGTTATTTGGAAAATGAATATTCTAAAATTTCATAAATCATTTAAGTTTTGAAAAAAAGTTTCATTGTCTATGATATATTTGTTTATGACTGTAATTGTAAGCCAGTTGTTAAAGCGAAAAGTTTAAATATAATTTTTTCTTAAATCCTTATTTTATCAATACTACCTGGTTTTTATCATGGTTTTTAAAACGTTGTTTTAAATGAATGTTTTATCAATGTTTTAATAAATAAAAATGAATAATTTAATGAAAATTTTATATTATTAATTTTACTACTTAAAATATATTTGAATATATACTAAATTTATTATTATTAAAATTTTTATCTAACAATGATTTTATGTTAATAGAAACCAGTAATTGTTTTGCTAATCTCTGAACTGAAAAATTCCTTTTGTTGACAAATACTTTATCTATATCTATTAAACTAAACTATAGATATTAAGTTATTTTGCTTCATTTTTTTTTTTTTTTTTTTGCTTATTTAAATTTCTTTTATTTTACCGATGGTGAAAATCTTCATTTCATAAATGATTGAAGTTTTAATTTTATTATTATTTTCATTAAAATATTTAATATATTATTTTAATAATATTATTATAATATATGATAATTTCTATATTTAACTACGAACATTTTTTTCTTTCAACTGCATTTAGTCAATTTGTTTTATTTCAAATTGCAAATAAATGAAAGAATGATTTATAATATAAATTTAAAATTACTAATTGCGCATTTACACCATTATTTTTTATAATAGAACCATTAAAAATAAATATATATTTAGCAAAAATCTCATTTTAAGTAACTTAGTAAAAATCTCAGTATTTCATAAAACAATTGTCTTTAATTTAAATATTCAGTTTAAATAATTTTTAAATATTCATGTGCAAACGAGAGTTTATAGTGAAAAAATTGTAAATCTAATCTTTTTGTAAATGTAATCATTTTTTATCAAATCAAATATATTAAAAAATATGTTAAAGATAACATAAATAGATATTAAAACACACACATATATAGAGTCAAATATATAAAAACAGGGGTAGGGGGGTGTCTAACTTAAAAATTTTTGAAAACCGTATTTTTACTTTTAATAAACAAAATGACACACAAAACTACCTGAAAATTTTTTATTTGTTTTTGGAACACCCTAAAATAAGATTATTTATTCTATTAATAAAAAAAGATAAAGAGAAAAATATAAGAAATTAAACAGCAGTTTTTCAAATAATTTTTATAATTATAAACTTTGATAATTATAAAAATTAGTCAATTGATGAAAATAAAATTTTTGAAAAAAATTTGGAAAAAAGTAAAGATGAATTCTTCAAACAAAAATACATTACTATTAACAAAATAACATTAGCTGTTTTTTTAATGATTTTAATGACCAAGAGCTAGTTTTACTTCTTTAACTTCAATGATTAAAGTTCTTGTTTTTTTATTATTTGAAATTATTGTGTGTAATTAAAAATCTCAACAGTACCTTTTTTTTTTATTCAACCTTTTCCATTATTTTTATAGTAGCTTTTTCTACCATTACCAAAGCCATTGCAATAAAATGAATTATTTTTAAATAAATAAAAATTATCGATTGCTCATTTGCACTTTAAAAAAAAGTATTGTTTTTATTTAAAATTATTATTATTATAATAATACGAATTCTTTAATTTTCAAGCATAAGTTATTTTTGTATTTATAAAATTCAATCATGAAGAACTATTACTAAGATAAAAAAAAAAAGAAAAAATTTGACAGCTCAAAAAAACTTTTGATATCTTATTTTCCACAATATATATATATATATATATATATATATACATATATATATATATATATATATATATATATATATATATATATATATATATATATATATATATATATATATATATATATATATATATAATGTATATATATATATATATATATATATATATATATATATATATATATATATATATATATATATATATATATATATATATATACAGGCCCGGCGGAAAGCGGGTACAACAGGTGATTTTTACCCAGGCGCCAAGGCAACAAAGGCGCAAAAATTTTATTAAATATATCTTTTTTTTCTTCTGAGAATATGAAAACATATAAATTTATTCAAATAATTATATAAAAAATTTGTATACTTGTTTATATAAGAATCAGACTAATATTTTATATTAAAAAAGAGAAGAGTTTAGAAGTATTTTTTTTAATTAAATACAAAAATAAACCAATTTAAATAAATAAAAAAATTATTCAATCAAAATTAATTTTTAAAGAAAGGTAACATTTCTTCAAAGAAGCGTTTGTGTTTTAAACAAGAAATTTTAAAAAAGCATTTATTAAAAAATTAAAAAAGCGTTTCTTAAAATATTAACTTAAAATTAAAGCTTTAAAAGTAACTTTTTTTTTTGCATTAAATATTTTTTTGTTTTCAAGGTGTTTGAGAATTTGAGAATTTCAATTATTTTTTTATTTTGATATTAAGTTATCTAATTATTGTTGTAAAATTATAATATTTATTCATTTCTTAAAAAAAATAATAATGGAGAATAAGAGTTTCGGGTTAGGAGTTAAAATAAAAACGCCTACGAAAAGACAAACAATTGAAATCAAATCAAACATCTTTAGAAAAATTTCAATTAAAAACTCATCATGATAAAATTGACAAAGAAAGTCCAATAATTCAAGATCTGGTTGATTCTGGAAATGAAAGCAAATCAACTAAATCAACTAATTCAATTGAAAATATTTAAACGAAAGTTTGAGTGAAAGTTTGATTGAAACTGCTGCTACTTCAGAATACTTTGACGATATTAGCGATTGATAGGAAAATTTAAACAAAGATTTCATACTAGATGCAGTTTTAGAGAAGATTCTAATAACTATTGCAAGAATAACCACATAAAGTGGGTTTTTGTGAACGTTGTTTTTATAAAAATTAATGCCATTTTTTTATATTTTAGACAGTCGATGTAGCTGTAGTGTGTGTCGTCTTTTTTCATTTTTATTAGATTTTAAAAATTAAGGGTAGTTTATATTTTGTTAAGAATTTTACAAGGAATATGAATCCGTAAAATTAATTAACAAGATATAATTGTATACAATTGTTTGTCTACAAGATAAAATAGGTGCATAGGAAATAAGGATATATTGGGGAAACATTGTTAAATAAAAAATTGTCATCTGTAAACAATATTTCATTTGAACGACGTTAAATTTGTTAATTGAAATTATATTACTTAAGTAATATAATTTTATTATCTAATAATTATTCACAACTACTGATAAATAAGTGACAAGTGTGATAATAAAATAAAATTTTGAGTATAAAAGTGATTAAATAAGATTATATATTATAAAAAAAATTTGATTATATATAAACTGAACAAAATATAAAAAATAGTAGAAATTATTATGGCATCCTTTAACAAAAAATTAACGATAAAGACAAGAAACATGAAAAAAACATACTACTAGAACGGAGTACTTGAAAGGAGTTGTAACTCTCTGAACTTCCAACATATAGAGACACACTTTGATATGCTGTTCTATTAAGAGAACAGTATGATAAAAACTCCAGAATCTTTTTAATAAAAAATATGGCAAAAAAAGGTTGCATGTGTTGTTATTACCCAGTGGCAAAAAGCAAACGCTAATTTTAAAGCTAATTTATTCTGAAAAGAATATACAAAATTAAAAAAACTTGGGATGTTGCCTTTTTAATATCAGTGAACAGAGAAAATAAAGAAAATAAAAAAGAGTTTACATTGAAATTGGATAAACTTTTTGATATTTTAAATTCTAAGTGGATAATTTCTGATTGTAAAGAATTTGATTGCAAAATTATTTGTAAACAACAAGCCTACATTAGATGCAACTGCTCTAAGGAATATAAAATTCCTATAATATAAACTTTTTATATTAAAACCGAAAGAGATAAAGTTGGTGCAAAAGGTTTGCTTCAAATATCTTCCAAAGATATACCTGAACACAACAGACAAGTTAAAACATTATATAACCATTCTAATAAAGAAGCTTCTAAAAGAAAAAGGGCAGACAGCATAACAACAAATAAAACGTTAAACGTTAAATGATTTTTCAATGACTGAAGATGAACTTACTTATGAAGAATTCAACACAGAACCTTGTACTTTAAGTTCAAAAGTAGAAAAGTCTATATATAATACTAAAAGTGTACGAAATATAGCAATACATAGTTGAAGGTAAAATATATATTTTTTATTTTAAATTGAAAAAAAAAATTCTCTTTATTTAAATATATCTAAAAAACAAATTGTATTTTTAGATACGAAGTTTCTTCTAGACCTGCTGCGGCTTTGACTACAGCTGCCTGGATTGATGCTGGATTGATTACTGAGAAAGATACGCAGTTTATTGTTGACCATAAAAAAATTGTAAGAGCTCAAGATAATGTAATGATTGAGTTAAAAAATTAATCTTTAAAATATATAGACAATCGGAACATCAATTGTATTTTGTTTGATAGTAGAAAAG